CCACACTCGCAGTGATTGCGACTGTATAATAATGATTTATACGCCTGCGCTGCTTTAAGCCAAGCGCATTTATTGCTTATGGAAACTTTATTGAATATGCCGTGAGTGATAAACATCGGCAATTAATTTCCCAGCACTTCACTCGCTCGAGGATTTGTCGCACATCTCAGAGGCTCAAGAGTCAAGTGAGCCAAGCGCCACTGGCTGACAATTATGAAAAGCTATTACTTTTATACGATCGGCAAATTAATAAAGCTTAAAGTGTTTGCCATATGACTTAATTAAATAATGAAAAATTGCACGGCGCCTGTATAATTGATGGGGCAACGTTTTTGTTATTTGTTGTTGGCGTGTGGCAAGTTTTATTTTGTGGCCACTTCGAATTGCATTGCCCAAATTGATGAGTCCCAACGACGAAGACCAAAACAGGTATAACTTACTCAAATGAATAAAGCTAACTTTATGCTTAACATGCTTAAGTCTGTAAGTTATATATAAATAGAATCTGTGTAAAATTATTGAATATATATTCCAAGGTGTAACATAATACCACAATAGATGTAATAAATTGTTCGCGTATGTTGCGCATTCCGTTTCCCATTTCAAGAAGACTCTGTAAGGATAGGCTTTCATTTCGCCTGCACAACTCCATTATTTTTCATAAGCAATTTAGCATCGAGCACTTAAATGTACCCAATTTCCCTAACGATTTTCATGTGCGAAAACGGCAAATTATGTGAGGCCTCAAAATGATGATGGATCACCAATCGCACAACGCCATAAAACGGCAACAAGTCAATAAGAACAACAGCCGCAAAGGTTTATCCAACTCTGGCATATGGCAGGCACACACACACACACACACACACACACACACACACACACACACACACACACACACACACACACACGCACACCTCGGAGTCAATAGCGATATTTGTAGCCATTTTTTGCGCTTCCCAGGCCCCAAGAGGAGGATGACACAAAAAAGAACGAAACGTTTTGAGGTATTAACACAAAAGCGGCTTTGGCTTTTAGCTTGACCAGTTTGCCAATGCCTGCATATGCTATGGGCATGGATGAATAAATGTGTGCATGTATATGTATTTTTTATGGCGGATTTGTGTGATCCGCTGCAATATTTTGAGCCGGCCTGTGGCGGCAGCGGCGTCAGTTGCATTGTTTTGCCGGCACAAAATATAATAATAAAAATAATAATAATAATATTGCTGGCCAGAGAGCTTGTTGCTTATGTAGTTGCTGCTGCTGCTGCTGCTGCTGCTGCTGCTGCGGGATGCTGCAACTTGTTCATGCCTCATTATTTTTATACGGATTTTGCGGTCCGTTGAGATTGGCCGGTCGCCTTGGACTTTTGGCTTCGGTTCTCATGCTGCTGTTGTTGTTACAGCTTGTATGCTTTTTTGCGCCTCAAAGCTCTACACAAAAAACCAACTGCAACAAAGCACAAAAAGTCGCCCAAAGTGCTCAAAAGTTTATTAAAATTCCAAGCGTAAATGGCAACAGCATTGAAAAAAATACAGAAAGAAACAACCAAAGCCAACACATGTTTTCACGCCTACCCACAAAAACAACAACAATAAAACAAAGAAAACTAAAAAACAGTCAAAAGCTGTCAGAGCAACCGCCTTATATGCAGATTAGCCATATGTGGCTCTCCCATCTGTCTCCCTCGCCCAATCTGAGCCTGACTTTGTCTTTGTGTCTCTCTTTCTCTTTTTCTCTTTCTCTGTCTCGCTCTCTTTCTCTTTCATTACATATGCATAATCAAAATATTCAAATTCAATTATTGTCAATTTTATTTATTATTAATGCGCATAATTGTCAAATTTGCCAAATTTATGAACGCAGTTAAAGAATCATATATAGATGCATGCATACATATTTTGTGTATATAAATACACAATCTTACAAATGGACTCTTGACTGGTTATTTCACATGCAACATACATACACACACACACACACACACACACAACGCGAATTTGCGACGCGGTCTCTCCTCCTGGGCGACGCTCACGGAGTTTATGCAAATCCACATACGACGTCTGGACAAGATTTTGTGCGGCTTGCGCTCAATCCGCACGAATTTATGAGACATGTTGAAATGCATCTCACCTTGATTATGGGGCCGGCCTGTGGAGCCCCCAAAGTGCTGCCTGTGTGTCTTTTAGCCCCTAGCCCGCCGCTGAAGTGCACCCATTGCCCCACGTTTGTCTCAGTCACATATGATGATGTGCGTCTCGCAAGTTTGAAGATTAATGGCAACGCGTTTAATTTGTTTTTGGGTGTTCTTACGGTCTCCTCCACGGGCGACGGTCGACTGTCGACGGTCGACGAGCTCAAGGCTTAAACTAAAACTCAAAATGAAACTGAGACCGAGACTTAGACTGTCACGGGCACTCGGGGTAAGTGGGTATGCATATTTCTTATGCACATCCAGTCGTGTAGTGTAATTCACTCACATTGACACGATACCTTAGAGGGGGGATGAGAGACGGCAGAAGGGAGAACGGAGACAAAAGACGTGAGTCTGCTGGCAGACTAGGCGGCTAGCTGCCTGTGGCTTACAAATACTGAACAAGGTCCAAGCCTGAGTTCAAAGAGGCAAAATGTCTAGTGTTAAATGTTCGGTTGTGGCCATTCCATTTTCTTAAACGTCAATTATATTGCATATTCGCTTCGGGTCTAGGACAAGGTGTGTTTGTTTTTGGCGATTTTTATATACATTTTAAATTATTATATTCAACATGTTAATATGCAATGCATAAGCGTGTAATTGCGTTTAGCACACCAAACTTAAAAAATAAATGTCTGCCGTTGATTTTTGACATCCAAATTGCAGCAGACAGAAGGCAAGGCGGACCCCACCGAACAAGCTGGCAGAGCAGAGCGGAGCAACAAGACATTGCCATTTGTATTTTCTCATTCGTTTTTTTCTTTATTTTAATAACACACTGAAAATGCTTTTTTAACAGCATGAAAATTATAACGCATCAGTCACGACACGGAGACAACAACGAGGTTTCTCGCTGCTGTTGGCCCCTATCTACCTTTTCTACTCTCTTACTCTCTTCTTTCTCTCACTCTTTACTGGTGAAAATCTTTGAACAAAAAATTGCAAAACATTTCTGCCAAACGTTTTGCTTCTTTTTAGCTTTGCGCTGGGCGGCCATGTTGTAGGGGAAGGAAAACTCGGACGGAAAAAACGACTGCAAAAGTTTTGTGTAACAACAAAATGGTTTATTAAGAAAGGAAATGAGGCGTTTGTCAGCAGACGAAAAAAAAAGCAACAACACGCAGACACACAAGCAGTCCAAGCCAAACAAAATAAAAAATAAATCTTTGAAAATATCAGCTTTTCGGCTTTATAATATGCAAATTACAGTTAATAACATGAACCAGCTGCTGCATAAATTACCAGAAAATAAAGCCTCTATGCTGATAAAAACAGAAGAAAAAACACATATGAGAATATTAGACAAAAATCAATGACCTGCCCGGTTAAAAGACTCGAGCACTCGGCGACTGCTCAGCAACTGTCTAATAATAATGAAATATTTCCCAAAAAGATGCCCCCAGCTCTCGGCCACAAAGGCTTTGTAAGACATGGTTGTCAATGTGGCGGTTGCTGTTGCTGTTGCTGTTGTCGTTGTTGTTATTTATGTTGCTCGACGCGGCCATACTAATTTCAAATTTAAATCTTTCGCTGTGACCTTTCATGGCTACCATCCATATCGAGATGTATGTAGATGTACGTACAAGCATGTGTATATATATTAGAGTGTATTTTTCTTAATTTCGAAAGCGTATTAAATTACCCACACACATACGTTACAGGAGAAAAAGAGAGAGTACGAGAGAGAGAGAGAAAGAGACGATGCACGCTCCTCAACGGTTCTATAGCTGCCAACGAGCCCGCCCCCGCCCCTGCCGCAGAGTCGAAACAAGAATTTCAAGTATGTTTAACCCAAAACACAACACAACAAAACTAAGAACCGAATCGAACAGAGTAACCGAAACTCTGTCTTCGGTTCTGTTATTCTGGGTCTCAGTCTCAGTCTCGGGCTCTGTCCCGGTCCCGGTCCCGGTCTTGTTCTTATTCTTGTTGGTCTCCCTGGCATGCCCAGGGCCGGGGCTTAAAGTATTTCACAGGAAATCTTCGGAAACGAAACCCAACAACGCAACAATATGTTCTACACATTTCTTATTTCTTTCATTTTTTTCGGGCTGCTCGCTCCGTTTGCTCCGCTGTGTGAGAAATCGAAATCCCAAAAACTAAATCCCTATAATGCCTTTAAGGGGGGGGAACAGAGACTGGCAGGCAAAGACCCGAACACACACGCACACACCACTCACTCACGCACGGCTACATTTCGATATGTGCGTGTGTGTTTCGGTATTTTATTTTATTTTTATTTATATATATATATATATATATATATATATGTGTGTGTGCCTCTGCTTCGCGTCCCCCCAGAGTCATAGTCGGAGCAAGAGTCAGAAGGGCCCGAGCGTGCGCACAGTCTATAATAATGATAAGATGGCTCTTAATCAGAAAATGTATATGGCCCCAGCATTTAGTTGTTGTTGCAGCCTTTGGTCTCTGGCTGCTGCTGCTGCTGATGCTGATGCTGATGATGGGTTATGCCCGTTTATAATTATGGGTCCTGTCAAATGCTAAATGAAGGGCGCATCAAAAGGCAGCCAGCAAGTCGCAAGCCATACAATTTTCAGTTTAGAGAGCGTTACGCTATGTTGCAGATTGTTGTTGTTCTTTTTTCTTTTTGTTTTTTTTTTTTCGTTCGTATTGTTTTTGTTGTTTGTTGGCGGTCGGTCTGTTGGAGATCGCACTCTTGGCCATTTTGCAGCATTTCCAGCTGGGCGTGAGTCTGGACAGGGCCCTTCTCATTGGTTGGATGCTTGCCCTCGTATGTGGCACATAAGTAGATATATAATAATGTTTTAAAGAGAAAGCTTACCGCTTGCGCTCGTTCCGAAATTGTCTGCAAAGAAAACAAGAGATGAAAGGAGAGAGGTTAGTCAAGAATTCACATCTATATCCATATACATATTTTATGAACTGCACACAGGGATCTTAACGCCCACCTTTCACTCTAATTTAATTAACGCCACCAGCAACAAATTTCTACAAAATTTGGCCATAGTACGGTCTCGACAAACACAGATGAATTATCTTCCTCAACAAGTTCAATTCGCTGGCATTCAAAAATTTCTCAGACCTCAAAGCTCGAACCACAATAAATCTTTTCGTATTTTTTGTGACCCAGGCTTGCATCACAGTTCGCTTGCGGGCTAACCAAAAAAAAAAAAAAACTAAAAAAAAAAAAATCAAATGTTTTAAATTTTCGTGCAGACTTTGACCGCAGAATGTTTTTTGTGTTGCTGCTATAAAAATATGATATATATTCACACACTCTCGCACGCATTGTGCAGCGGAGCGGAGGGAGCCCGGCAATCAATCAAAAAACTATGGAACCTCCGGTATCAGCCCGAAGTGTGAACCGAAAATATTTGGAGCAAATCAAATGCAGCAAATTGGAATACAGAAAAAACAACAACGAAAATAAATAAACAGAAATAAAACAAAGCTTGCCCCTTTAAGCTGTATTCATATGTATACAAAATTTAATTTAATTTTCTGTTTGGTTTTTATATTTTTTATATTTGCTGCATTTTCACACGCAAATCAAAAGATGGTTTTTATAGTTTTGCTCTGCTTTTACGCAAAGTTTATAATCATTTTAAGCCGAGGGCATTATGCAAATTTGATGCGATGTTACCTAAATCCGGAGTCAATCTTGTATCTCATCTGCCTTTCTGTTACTTTTTTTTCTACTTTTTGCTGTGAGTTAAGCTCGCATAAAATATTCGTGTAGCTTTAGAATTAACCTTAACGAGACCATTGGCCATTTGCCATTCCTTGTATTCTTTATGGCCCAGAGGCCAGGGGTAGCCACCTAGGCACAGAGTCCAGGGACTCGGAGCATGTGCACGGATATGCCAAATACAAACGCAAGATACAACACACATGTATCTATGTATATAATAGCTGCCTCGCCAGATATGCGTGATATTTATCTAGGCAGCTGATTGAGTTCGAGAGCTCATTCTGGGCCAGGCTCTTTCTTCGGCTGGGGCTCAAACTTGTGGCCTTCATACTTTAGCAGTCATTTAGCCACTTTGTAATAACATGGCTAAGAGTATTTTGTGAACTGAAGGCTGGACTTTTGTTACAGCTCCGTTGCATTCGCCTGGCATTCGCCTGGCATTCGCATCTCCGCATCTCTGCGTTTCAGACTCTCCTCACATCCTCACACATCGTCGTCGTCTGCGTTCGTTGTCATTTAAGTCATCGAACACGCATTGCTACATTGTACATTGTACACATGTACAATGTTCAATGGTGTCGCGCTGGCGGTGCGGATCGGTGTCGATGTCAGTGTCCTGCAGCGGCCATTGCTGTCGAGCCAACAGTCCATTGCCAGTGTCCAGAGTCGCTGGCCTGGCCGGCAGTTCATAAATAATCGTCTTAAGTTGATGCGGTGCCCGTCGGCGGTCGCTGGGTGGTTCGTGGTTCTCACCAAGGCCTCCAGGCATTGCGACAGATTAAGCCCGACTTGCCATCAGTTCCAGCTCGCGGCTCACTCACACATTGCACTTTTTTTGAGTCGGGCCAACAAAAAAGTATCTTTCGGATTGTAGATGTTGCTGTTTCTGTTGTTGTTGTTGCTGTTGTTACAGCCGCAGCCAAACGCATTAAAGAAAGCAACGCAAAGCGCTCCGAAGCCGCTCAAATATTCCGAAAACGTTTCAATGAATGTCGCCGACGCAGTGCCTCAATTTTTGTCACTGTTCCCCCTCTTTCTCTCTCTCTCACTCTCTCTCTCTCTCTCTCTCTCTCTGTTTCTGGCTGTACAACAACAAGTCGTGTCTGATCCCATTTTAATATTCTAGATACTTAAATAAAATACGTGTCTGGCTTGGCCAACAAACGTTTATTGTTTGTTAATTGATTTTGCTGGAAGTTGTCGCCGACTGTTAAAATGCAAAGTGCAACTTCGACAAACTTTGCGGAGCGCAAAAAAAAAATATACAACAGAAAGACAGAAAAGCAGCGGCAACAACAGCAACAACAAATAGCATTTGGTATGCAAAATTTGTTTGGCCCGTCGACTTGGACAACTTGTGGGTCTGGGCTTAGGCTGCGGCCTCTTGCTGCTGCTGGCTGCTGCCTGCTGGTTTCTGGTCTTCACTTTTCGTTCTCTGGTCTGGGCGCAATTAATTTGCAGACGGCGAAGCTGAAGCTCAGCCTTGAGGCTGCCAGCAGTTGACAATTGTCAAGGACTGCGTCAACTTGGCGGCGACTCACAGTTTGACAGCTCTGGGAACGAGGTGGAGGTGATGGTAGTTGCTAAAACGGAGAGGGGTTGGGGGAGGAGAAGGGGGAGTAGTAGCGGGCTGGCGACTTGGGTCATTTAACGGTAATTACCAAAGCGCGACAGAAAAGTTTCTGCGAAAAACGTGTGGAGTGGAAAAGCGCTCGGCTCAAGTGCCGACAAAGCGGCCAAGTGAAGCATAAAAATGAAGCACCCAAAAAAAAAAAATAGAAGAAAAAACTAGGCAAAACAAAACCCGTAGAAAAACCAACGGACGAGCACAGACCACACGATTTTCCAATGCCCGCCAAAGAGTAACAGAGTCAAGCGCGACTCCAAGTCTATTTATGTGGCTATTGAAGTGGGCCTCGTCGCTCGGCTCCACTTCAAACCACACCACACCACACCACAGCACACCACTCTACTCCACTCCACTCTACTCCACTCGAGTCCAAGTGGTTTGGTTTTGGCGGCTTGGGCTTTGATTTTTGCTTGATTTCTTTCAAAATCAAGCCAGCACACACACATAGAAATACATTCACAGAGGGCAAGGAGAAGGAGAACGAGGCGGAGTTCCAGTCGAAATAGAGATGCAGATGCACAGAACCCAGAACATAGAAATCCCTCCTCTGCCCTGGCTGCTGCTGCTGCTGCTGCTGTAGCTGTTGCTCAGTGACTGTGACGCCATTTTCAGGTAACAGACAGAGCGTATGCAAAAGAGCCAGAAACACAGCCAAAAACGTAGACAGGGCCCAGGCCAAGAACATGTCCAAAGGCGAACCGCCAAAAGGATAATCAGCAACAATTTAGTATTATTACACCACGTTCGAAGCCATCGAAGTCTAAGCCCCGCAAAGCTGCAGCGCACACAAAGTTGTCTGTCAGTTTTTTAAAGCCACAGCCACAGCCACAGCTATAGCCATAGCCATAGCCACGGGGCCAAAGTCGAGGCTGGGGCTGAGGCGCAGCTCAAGTATGCATTTCAAAGAAAATCATTATTATCGATGCGGCAAAGGAGGCAGAGCGACGCGGTTGTGAATGTGGATGTGGAGCTGAAGCTAAGCCTGAAGAGACGACAGACTGAAGAAGACTAGAGACTGGAGACGACGGACAACTCGGCGGACGGCAGGTTGAGCCGCAAGTTCATTCCTTTTGGGTATTTTCACGTGGACGTAGATTGAGTTTCAATGGAAAAATGATTTGCAAATTGACTTTAACGAATTGCTCGAGTGAGCAACCTGCTGGCACTTGGAATTTTGATTACAGCATAGACATAAAGACAGAGCGAAATACTGCGAATCGGTTAGGTGAAAAGAAGCAATGGATGTGTGTGTATTAGAAGAAAGCTGCATGTAATTGGCACGCATTGCAGGCATGAGCTCCGCCCCATGGATTACCTCAGAAAGAGCCTGTCTAACTACACTATGCAACAAAATGCTGCACACGAACAGCCGAGACAAACTTAAGTGAATTGTATATGCTATAGACTCTGATTTCATGCAACATAAACCTCAAAAGTTAGCTAGTATAGTATAGTATATATAGGGCCTACATTATTCAGATAATGTGGAAATGAAACAATCTCATCCCGTGCCAAAAACAGTTGTTGCCTAGTGTAATGCAATGCGTTTAGATCCACGCTGGGCCATTTCGTGGCATTGCCTGATGCGAGTGTCTGCTTCTGATCCTGATCCATTGGCTGCCCGTCTGCCACATGACTATGAACGCCATTATCAGCTTCATGGCCATAGATGCTGCTGCTGCTGCTGCTGTTGCTGTGGCCATTGCCAGTTGGCCAGTTGGCCAGTTGGCGAGTGGCAGGCGGAGCAGTTGGCCAACTGGCTGAGCCTACTCGACAGCCTTTGTTTGGCATTTTTGTGGCCTGTGGCAAGTTCGTATATCATTATAGAAATTACCTACTGCGCCAGGCCGTGAGGCAGCGGCCATTGTTAGTAGTTTGCCATTAACGTTAACTCTTTGGCACAATCTGGCCAACAGATCTCTCTGGTGCCGGCGATAGCATAGCAAAAAAACAACAAAACAATCGCAAAAAAAAAAAAACCTTAAACAGGAAAAAACAATGCCACACCACTATCATGCGGCAGGTTTCTGTTTAACTACCTACCAAAAAAAAACAAAACGAGAAAGCAAAAAAAAGGGGGGGGAATTGATATTGTAAATCAATGAAATCTAATGGAAACATTGACGTCAGTTGGTCGCTGGGTCATAAGACTGATAAAGTGGCCAACAAGAGGTGAGCCGAGTTTGATAATGAACAAATCTGATACTTACCAGGACTACCAAGGAAGACTGAGGAATACAGTCGCCGCGAGGCGTCTGCATTGCGAGCATCGGCAGGTGAGGACCATTCTCTTCGACACCATCGTCCTGAAAGAGTTAGAAAAGCCGCTTATTAGTTTATCGAATCAAACGATAAAGAAAATTCATAACTGCTTTAAGTAATCATAGCATATATCAATTCTCAAGTGCTTGAGTTCTTAAGCTATCTTGCCGTCCGCTCAAAGCCCCAAACTCAACTCGAAACGGCTCGATTCGAGCCGACTGACTGTCGCACGCGATTTGCAACACTTGTCAACTTCAAGATTTGCCCAATATTGACAGTATGTTAAATAAGTTAAGCCAGCATAGACACACTCACACACAAGCTCTCGCACACACTCACACACACACTTTTGCACACACTTGGCGAGCAGCTTTCGTCAGGCGACATTGACTGACAGTGAAACGCTCTAAGCTCGCACCCACAACTATCTAAAGCTCACGACTACCAACACACACACACACACACCCCCTCCTAATTCCACCCCCTCGCGACCCACGCTCGCCGGCTTATGGGCACTTTAGGCGCATAAAACTTTAAATGAAATACGCAGTTGCCTAAAAAGTGGACAACAAGAAAATAAGAAGTGGCAGAATGAAAATGGCGCCAATAATAATTTGGTTTATTGGCTCTAAAGCACAATGAAGACACTGGGCCAAGTGGTTGGGCGTTGCCAGCGCAGGGGCTGGCTACCCCCGCCCCCTGCCAGCTGGCAGCGACTTCTATTATTTTTTGTATTTTTTGTTTTGTTGTTGTTGTTGTTGTTGTTGCCCAGTGAGGGCGACGCACCTTTATTTAAATTCAAGCTTGGCCAGTGCAACAACAGCAACAAGGCGTCTGCCTCGTTTTCTTAATGGGCAATTTTCTTGGTAGTAATGGGCACGTTTTATGGACGCTTTTGTGGGGTGTTTATCGTGCACACAAGGGGCCACCCCACTGGCTCTCTGGCGCTTTTAAAATGCAGTCGAGGGTTGACAATTTGGCTGGGCTTAGTTTAAAGCAAAAAAAAAAAAATAATGAAAATATTAATGGCATATTAGATGACACAGCTGTCGCACCTGTTTAATCAAAAATGCGCTCAAAAATAATCAAATGAATGAACAAAAATGAAAATAAACACAAAAGAAAACAAATTAATTGAGTCGAGCAAGAGCGGAGACAAAAGCCCAAATTGTTCGCACATAAATCTTAGCACTAAAAATTTTATTGTCGTTTTTATAGTTAAAAAATAAAATCTAAAAAAAAAGGAAAAAAGAAACGGCGGCCGCGGCAGAAACTACTCAACGGCAGCCCGAGCCAAACAGTCTGGGCTGAAGCGCTCTCAGAGAGCGGCACACTCACACACGCACACAGCTACAAGCGATTTCCCCGTCGTCGTATCGTAAGCGTATCGTAAGTTGAGCGCACTGGCTGCTTATATCGTAAGAAGGCAGCGCCATTGCTTAGCTGCTGATATTGCAGCTGTCGCGCTTGTGCAAGCGAGATGGCACTAGTCAAATACTGACGGGTGTACAGGCATGTGTGCGTGAGCAAAGCGAATTGAAGGCGAATTGAGTTGCGAGACGCAGCGACCAGTCAATATTAAGGTTTCTTCTCCTTGTTGTTGTTGTTGTTGTTGTAGCTGTTGCTGTTGGCGCTTTGTTTGTAGACGCCAAAGCCAAGTTAATGATTTTGTAGTTGTTGTTGCTGCTGCTGCTACTCATTATGCAATGTTAAATCAATAAATTGACAAAAAATGCGCGCGCCACAACCTCAACAAGCGCCAAAACAAAGCCCTAACATTTAACTCAAATAGTTTTATAGTTTTCGTGATTGTTGTTGTTGTTGTTGTTTTGCTCACTTTGTAGACAACACGAATTTATGACATTTTAAATAACACAATTTGGAAAAGGCGAAAAACATTTATTGTTTCGCCTTCGGCAGCCCCATTTTCCGTCGCTATTTATAGTTCAACTATTTTGAGTGTCAGCCCCCTCTTCCACTCCCACTCCCTCTCCCCCCGCCGTCTTGACACTACGGCACCCGCTCTTAAGTGCTGATAAATGGCGCTAGACTCTTTCGGGCTGCCATTGATTAGAGCCGATGAGAAAATGACAAACAGCCAAATGCACTGCGTTCTTATCGCCAGGCACAAAGTTCAAATGCAGCTCAAACGACAACAACAACAGCGAGTGGCACACACACGCACACACACGCAAGCACATACATGCTGGCACAACGAATTTTCCATTTGGACATTTAGAAATAGAAGCCACCCCAGACAACAACAACAACAACAACAACAATTAAACCCCAAATACCAACGTCTGTTCTGTATCTGTATCTATGCTGTCTCTCTGTATGTATATATATTTATATATATATATATACGTGTGTGTGTGTGTGTTTAGATAAAATTGTGTTTCGAAAGTGACAGTTGAAATGATTTATCACTTGCCAGCGACTACTGCAAGGCGCAAGCGGCTACCCCCTCCATCCCAGCTAACAGGCCCGTACCCTCCGCCACCCTTCCCTCCCCGCGCCGCCCTCCTACGTCCAACACCCGCCACCCGCCCCCCCTCGCACGCTGCTTTTTCTGTCTGTCGTCAAAGTTTTTAGCAGCGTTGCTTCGACGCTCGCATTTTTGTGTAGAAAAATTGAAAATGGCTTTTTTTTTTTCTTGGTTTAGAACAGAGTGTACGTACCCCTATTGCCGGGCCTGCCCCCGCTCTCGATCGCGCGCCCGGCCACAGCGCACAGGCCCGTCGTGGCGCAACATTGTTGCTATCACAATCAACTTCATCTTTCCAATTTTCTACTATTTGGCTTTGTTTCCCCAGCGCCCCTCGAACCCAGACCGCCCCTCCTCCAACTACTCACAGCGCTCACATTGTTGTTGCTACGACTTTTTCATATGAAAATTTAATTCCAGCCCCAAACATGGCCCACCCAGTCGCCCCCATTTCCATTTCATTCCTTATATTTCTCTTTCTGTGTGTGTGCGTGTGTGTGTGTGTGTGTGTGCGCTGCGAGCTAATTTAAAAATTTTTGTAATTTTTTCGCCTTGCTCTTTTGGAATTTTTGCAATGCGCGACAAAATGATTTATGTCGCTGCCTGCGCAAAATTAAAAATATTACAAAGAAACAACAACAGCCACCAAATGACAAAAATACAACAATGTTCACATTTAAATAACACACAAAACGAATACAAAACAAAAAATATGAAAAGAAAATAACGAAAACAACAAGTAAATTCATACGGATGTTCCTGTGTGTGTGTGTGTGTGTGTGTGTGTCTCTCTTTAAACTTTAAATGAAAATGTTGCAGTGAAAATATTTGTTGGCTTTTCCAATTTTATGCCCAACAATTTCCAATGACGGCGGCGCGTTAAAAACAACAACCAAAAAACCGAAATGAAAAAATAAAAGAAAACCGCAGCAATTTTTCATCATTTTGCACGTGTAAATTTTCCAATTGGTTGAGCGCGTGAAATGCGACCAAAGTGGGCAAAGGAGCGTAGATTGAGAGGGCAGCACCGCTGCAGGAATTTACTTAGCAATCGAACAAAGTCTTCTACAGGTGTCCAAATGAAGGAAACACTCCAAATGCTAAACGATAATGAAGGCTCATAAAGGGTGATTGGGGGGCTGTCAGTTCGAGGGCACGAAGTCTGTTGCTGTCTCTTGGTATCTGCTGCATTTGCCGGCGGCTGGCCGCCAGGGCTCCGGCTTTGCCCAGACAGGGAGCCCTTAAATTGGATCTCGACTGCGGGCTGTGGATGGATGTAGAAATGGGTTACGCGAGACAGCAAACCCGCAAATCGGCACGACTCTGGCATACCCTGTAGCCAGTTGCCATCGCGCGAATATCCAAATAGTTTCAATTAATGATAATTGATAAATTACCTAATATGCCGCCGCATTCAGTAAACTTCTCTTAACATTCGGCGCGTGCATAATGTTAACATAAATCAATTTACTAACTCATTCAATGTGAATGTTATATCTGTTTAACCTATTTTTATAAATTCTACAATGGAGATGCTCTAGCATTCTCTCGCATGATCCCACATAAACTTTTTAAATTGCGCTTAAGTCCGCTAAAGCCCATTTCTCATTCCATCTCTGTTGCAGCTTATCTCTCTGTCTCTCTCACACACATACTTCCTTGTTTCCTTCCTCACTCTATCTCTCTCTCACACGAGTTCTTCATTTTGCTCCTTGTTGTTTACTGCAAAGTTTTGCTGCTTTTTGTGTAATTTTTACATCCAGAAACGAATTTTATATGCAACTTTTTGTTGTTTCCAATATTTTAAGGACCAAAATGCAAAAGCCAATTTTTTCAGTTGTCTTTTTTATTATGTATACCCCGTATGTAAAATGATTCAACGGTTATTTTAAAGATATGAGAACTAAATGAAGCTAAATGAGAATTTTGAATCGCAATATATATATATATATATATATATGCTTATATAATTTCCTGCACTAAAAATTTCGAAATGGAAAGATGTTAACAGTTTGTTGACTTAAATTGGAGCGATTTTAACAATTCTTCTTTTCTGGCATACTATTTATATACTAATCAGTTCGAAATTTTCCGGACACTTTTTGTTTATAGGGTATTTCTTAGTGAATATGCTCCCGTCGTTTATTCCACCTATGTTTTCGGTTTGGTCGGAAGGTGGCGCTGCTGCAGCTGCTTTACGACTGTGCAAAAGCAACAACAACAACGACTGTTGTCTGCGTGGTGCCATTGTTGGTGCTGTTGTTGTTGTTGTTGTTGTTGTTGTTGCTGTTGTTGTTGTTGCTGTTGTTGCTGCTTGGTGGCATTTTGCGTTGCAGTTTTTACAACATTTTCCATGGCGACGTACGCTACATTTTTGTTAAATTCAAATGAAAAAAGCTTTTCGCGCATAGTTATCAAAATAATGGCAGACTTAAACGTGCACAGAGTGGGAAAGAGAGAGAGAGCGAGAGAGAGAGAGAGAAAATGGGAGTGGGTGTGGCAGAGATTGCGAGCTGCGAAGTGGGAGCGAGACAGTTGCAGTTCAGTTGTTGAGCT